TCCCGCCACCCCCCCCCAGCTGCGGTCTCGGGTCCGGTCCAGTGCCTCAAGAGGGGCGAAGAAAGGAGGTCATCATGACCGCCGAAGAAGGGAAGGCCGAGGAGATGAGCGCGGCGCCGGAGGGAGAGGGAGGAGTAGACATTTCGCCCAAGAGCGACGGTGGAGTCCTCAAGGTACCGCCGCCGACTGGACGGAGCGATTGCGAGGAGGAGGCGACGCTCCTGGGCAGGATGCGGGTTTGAGCTGACGCGGGTGGCAGGGTATCAAAACACTCAGGTCGTCCCATGGGCTAGGTAGTTTAATAATCCACACAACGGTCTCGCAAGGTAGCGCAATGTTATTTGCACGCCCACAGGATGGACGAGACATGACCCTGCTGAAGGCGATTTAGTGAATGCCTTGCAGAGGGAACGATCGGAAACCACGGACTTCTGGCAAGTCTTGCTACTCATGAAAGAAAAGAGTGCCATTGGAATGTGTGTTTTTTTAAGTGTTTTGTATGCGATCTCTTCGAGATCCCCAAACAAACTAGATGAAAGAGTTTAGCGCTGACATTCCCCTATTAAACAAATGAGGGCCGAGTTGAGAAGACGGTGCCTTTAAGGCCACGTGGGTTTCTGTTTTACCCCTCTCCTCCTCCTCAACACTACCACGGAGTTCGTCTTGGTCTTCCCAGATGCATTCCTCTTTAATCAGTGCTCCCCTACAGGGAGGTGTTTGAAGTTTTGAGGGAATCCAATAAGGATACTGATATGCTATCATTAGAGAGCAGCCGAGGCACGTTTGTGGTACTGGATATCCTCCGGTTATGACTGAGGAGGAAAGAGAGACAGGTCGGTTTGAGTTGGGGGTTAATAATAATGTGTGATATTGGCAGGTTGCAAGCCAAGCATGTATACAGTAACCATACAGTACGTCTGAGTATGTGTAGAATGTTTCTCCTCCCCATCAGTACCACTTCTCAACACTGGACTTCTGTGCCTTGAATAGCAAATTGGTAAGCATTGAGTGTTGCAACCTGCCTGTTAGTTTCAGTATGTTGAGCTGACTGTACCCAACATAAGGGAACAGGTAGTTTAGCACGCATAAATAACCCCATGGTTAGCAGAATTAACTAGCTCTGTCACACCTTTTCTATAGAGAACAAGATCACATAAGCATGGTGACTTCACGTATGATCGAATCTAGACCCTCTTGTTTTCGGGGCCGGGTCACTGTTTTTAAAATTTGCCTGCTCGAACAAATTTTCTTGAGATTTCTGCTTGTGCTGCGTCCTTTTTCCCCTTTCCTCCAGCAGCTCATGGAGATCTTGAGAACAGTGAACATAGAGGACAGAGATATTTCATTTGTAGAGATATCTGAAACCTACATAAATTGGTGCAGGAAGACATTGCTTGTAGAAGAGTAAAGAGCATAATTGGAAGAAACAATTGCTTGTGTTGGTGTGAGACATGATGCAGAGAGGGCAAAAGAAAAACATTCATGAAACCAGGACTATGTTGTATGATGATCCAGTGCAGGTTTTCTATAGTAGCTCTTTTCCAGAAAGGTAGGCAGTTACCAGGTTACTTCCTCCACAAGAAGTTTGCCTCTTCATAGTAGTTAAACATTAGCTTTTCTGTTGAGAAGGGAATATTGGAGAGAGAAGAACCTTGTTGTTTGTCTTTGCTCTGCATAATAGAAACTGTTGTGAGCGTAAGAATTGCAATTTCAGGCAGCAATGATACTAAAACTGCTAATTGGACCATGTGTTTTTGAATGTAGTCTCCCATATAACTGTTCTTTGGAAATATGAGCTGTGACTTCTTCTGTTGCAGTGATTTTAAATTAATATGAATGCTGCACTTGATATTGGCTCATTTTCTGTGTACTCTGAGTTTTAAGCTTACACAAAATCATGTTTGAAAAAAATATAGGATGGTGCCATAAAGCTAGAATTTAGCAGAGCAGTGATATTGTTATCAGGATTTGATGTAAAATGCAGAATGGGTGAAGGACATCATTCTACATGACATGGCTAATATGGAAGCAACTGAATTTTGCAAAATTAATTCCTGAGTTTATAAAGGTGGTAATCTGCCAAAATGTGGGGGGGGGGGATGAGAAGCAGAAGATAGAAGAAAAATAAGATTTAGGTTTTAGAAGGAATTTGTTTTGTGGGATAAATATGGATTAAGGTGTAAAGGGGATGGGTGGAATGGTGTATGTCACAGCATTGCCAGCAAGTGTATGTATAGTACCAAGATGTTGCAAAATATGTGTAGCCATGCTGCTGCTGTTTATGTTCTAGTATTTGTCATGCTAAGTTATTAAGGATGCCAGGAAGTCATATCCTTTTCCAGAATGCTCCATTTACAGTGGTGCCTCGCATTGCGACATTAATTCATTCCAGCGAAATCGCTGCTAAACGAAAACGTTTGCAGAAATAAAAAGCCCATAGAAACGCATTAAAACACGATTAATGCGTTCCTAGGGGCTTCAAACTCACAGTTCAGCAAAGATCCTCCATAGCATGGCCATTTTCGCTGCCTGTTAAGCGAGGAATCCATCCCAGAAAACAGCCGGCGGCCATTATGAAACCACCAATCAGCTGTTTAAAAAAGCATTGCTTTGCGATGATCAGTTTCCCAAGCAGGGAACCGATCGTGTCAAAGCACAGCCAGCCAGCCAGCCAGCCCGGGACGACGCCCACCCTCCTTGGCGGGGCTGTCCCGGAGCGCAGACGGGTGGGCTGGAGGGTCTTTCTCTGGTGAGCGAGGGCTCCGAGGCAGCCGCCCGGGGCGGGAAGGGGCGTGCTACCCACCCACCGACTGCCAGCCAGCCTGGGAGACGCCCGGCCTCCTTGGACTGCGAGCGGTGGGAGGAGGGCTCGGAGGCATGCAGACGCCCGGGGCAGCAAGGGGCGCGCCACCCACAGCCAGCCAACCCTGGATGCCCGGTCTCCTTGACAGGGTGCAGACGGGGCGAGGAGGGGGTCTCTGGCACACCGCCCCCCCGGTCCAGCCGCTGCCGTCCTGATCCCGCTCCCGAGAGAGGGGACCGAGAGCGAGGGGGAGGGAGTGCCGTTTTCTCCAGCCAGCGAGGGCTCGGAGGCAGGCAGCCGGGAAGGGGCGCACCACCCACAGCCAGCCAGCCAACCCTGGACGCCTGGTCTCCTTGGAGGGGGTCTCTGGTGCGCCCCCCCCGTCCAGCCGCTGCCACCCTGATCCCGGTCCCGAGGGAGGGTCCGAGAGCGAGGAGGAGGAAGCACAGCTTTCTTCAGCCAGTGAGGGGCGGGCGCCTCCTCCTTTGCAGCGCCTCCCGCCGCGATGGCTCTCTGGCTCGGCGCCCCAGAGGTGCGCGCAGGGATTGGGGCCAGGCCCTTCGCCCCTCCTTCCGAGGCGCCAATCCAGAGTGCCCCCCCGCCATCCCCTATTTATGCAGGAGTTCTGGGGGGGTAGCGTGCGGCGCCAATCAGCTGTTTAAAAAGCATTGCTTTGCCATGATTGGTTTCCCAAGCAGGGAACTGATCATCGCAAAACGAAATTCCCCCATAGGGAACATCGCAAAAGCGATCACAAAATCTTCATCACAAAGCGATTTCATCGTTATACGAAGCAATCGCTATGCGAGGCACCGCTGTATTTTTTATTTCCCCATCACCGGCATCCTCTGATGACAGAGCATGCTCAGTTCTCTTAGGTAGAGGTCAAGATTCCCCTTGACATTTAGTCCAGTCGTGTCTGACTCTAGGGTGCAGTGCTCATCCCCGTCGACAAGTCGTAGAGCTGGTGTTTGCCCGTAGACAGTTTCCATGGTCATGTGGCCAGCGCGACTAGACACGGAACGCCGTTACCTTCCCACCATGGTGGTACCTATTTATCTTCTCGCGTTTTTACATGCTTTCGAACTGGTAGGTTGGCGGGAGCTGGGACGAGCAACGGGAGCTCACTCCATCACATGGATTTGATTTTACGACTGCTGCTCTTCTGAACTTGCAGCACAGAGGCTTCGGTGGTTTAACCCGCAGCGCCACCACGTCCCTTTATCAGTACTCTTACCCCTCCCCTTAAATCTATTTTTATAACAATTATATTTATGTAGTCCTTGAGGTTTCTCAAAACTTGATCATATCTCCCTCATTTGTGGATGGTGCTGTTCTGGCTCCATTGAGAAAATTAGTTCATTCATATATGTAAATTTAACAGAGACATTATGTAACATAACTAAGCAAACTGCCCCCTGTTACTGTGCGCAGTGAGTAGACCAACATACCCTTTAATTTTCAGCTCCACTGGGCAGGGCTCCGCCTTGCAGGCACACACCTTCACCCCTGGGCATGCCCATACCTCCACCCCCCTCACACGCAGGGTTCCATCACGACAGAACCAAATGTGATTGTTGTATGGAGGAGGAAGAGAGCTGTGCAGAGGGAGGTGTAGTTGTGTGTGCCATGCACCCATCTTAGAGAGAACATTGGACTAGACTGAAAATCAACATTGTCTTCAATGCTTTGTCATCAGATGCTTCAGCTCACGAAAGGTATCATAGAGTAACATAAAACATGGCAGGTGGAAAAACATTTATGCAAAGATTGAAAATTGATATAAATATGTTAACATAAAGTTCCATTGCAAGAGAAGATATTGTCATCCTGATTCTGGATACTATTAGCTCCCCCCCCCCGGAGCCTTTTTATTAACTTCCTTACCTAAAAAGTGATTTTAAGGGGGAAATTGAGCTCTCAATTGTCTCCTGTGTTAATTGATTCTTGACATTTTTTACTTTGTTGACTTTGAAAACAAACATTGCAAGAAAATGCCATCAAAGTTGTAGATATCACTGTGACTGATGCCTTTTGTTTCCAAGCCATATTTTGAGTAGAGAGTCTACTCTTAACCAGGGTGGGGGGGAAATGTAAGCACAAGACCAGTAGGCAGTAGGGTTCCTGTACAGAAAAGAATTCTACTACATTTCTTGTTACTTAATGAAGACTGATTTAATTCCTGAATAGAATAAAATTGGATTCAAAGATTAGCTGGAAATTTTCAGTGGGGTGTAAATAATAGAAAGATACATTTCTTATGAGAAAGTTATAAGTGGAGAGGTTGTTAGCAGAACCTCGCGTTAAAGGTAATAGTTACTTTTAGTTAGTTGCTATTTGGGGAGTAATGAAGGTGTCATGTAGTAACAT